ATGTGAAACGCTTCTCAATATGCATGATGGCAGTCGCCGAGAGTTCACAGGGCAATTTGTCGAACGTTGTTTTGCAAAGTAATTCAACAGGCATTTAATATAAGTAAGCTCCCCCTCGCCACGTATTCTCCTAACACTTTTTACTCCAATTTGCTTACCGGCGATCGCGCTCATCACGCTAAAGGAAAGAAGACAGAATAGAATTCGAAGATTTCCCGGAATGGTCGCGTCACCGCCTTCGGTCTCTTTCGGTGGACTTTTGTTAACTTCAGATCTGGCATCTCGAGTATTTAGGCCAACGTTCGGGAATTTTAAAAATTTGTCGTCGATACCGACCTTTCCGTTGTGCGTGAGGTCGAGCGATGACACTAACGATACAACAATGGAATCGGGAGGACAAAGAATCTTTCAAAGACAGGATGAAATTTTTACTTGCAAATTTTAATCTCAAATGAAATCTACCGATAAGGCTCTTCATGGCTCGTAAGACGGATTTCTCGTTCGAGATCATCAAGAAGGATTAGCAGATACGAGCTCTGCCCAATTTATCCTTAGTACAAATGATTTTCTGTGTATTAAAAAAAAAGGAAAGATTACGGTATACAAAATTTCAAAACAGTGAGATGTAAATAATAGATAAGTAAATCGATTTGCTGCTGCTATTGTCTTAACTTTTTATTGTAAATGGCTGATTTGCTTACTGCTTACGTCTTAAGTTTTTCGTGTGCCATAACCTCTTAAAGACGTTATTTAATTAGATGCTTCTAATTAGATGTATCAGAAGATACATGAGCGTGAATTGTCTCCTGTCAATTTCAGGAAAAAACAATGAAATTATGAAAATTATTTCCGCGATGAAAAGTTAAATATTGTTCAACTCAATTGTGTAACTCACGTGTTATTCACAAGAAAGTTCATTGGCGATTATCTCAAAGGGTGACTTTAATATATAAACATTTTAATAAATATTTTAGCACTAAGATCCAGTTGAGACCGTTAAAGCTTTCCATTGTACTCAGTTTTGTTATTCACATTTGCGGTCTTAAAACACCGTGGCTGGCTCACAGTAGGTTTTTATTTTAAGACCGTCTTAAGTTAATATCTTAAAATGCTAATGCTTTCTGGCGTCGTGACTTTTTAAGAGACCATACTTAAGATAGTGTTAAAATAAGAACCGACTGTGAATACCAGTCTTTGTTTATTTTAAGTTTCGTGTGAAAATAAATTTTTGCCTGTACACCCCACCCTCTGATTGAAACTGAAACCCCAGGAGGGTACGTTCACGTTCTAATATTTCAAAGAAACGACTCGCTCTCAGGACACGAATGACCTAATCGCATTGATGTACCAAGCCACTGAGGGTTAATTCGCAGCTCGCAATGCGGAAAGATCGTCAGATCCCCGACAAATGTGTGCGGGGACAACAGGCCGTGCGGAGATAAAAGTTTTCTTTCGTTCACGGTTGATCGCGAGCACCGCCGATTCGATGATTTCGGTGCACGTGTGAGTATGTGTGTGTGCGTGCGTGCGTGCGTGCGTGCGTGCAGCTTGCACGTACAGAGAGGGTGATAATGTATTCAAGGTCCGCCCCGTGTGCCGCATGGTGGGGTGAAACGGGGCGGCCCGCGCGCTATAGGTACTGTAACAGATGTTAATTATCCCTTCTGTATAGCCGGCGAAAAAAGGAGCTCGAGCTCGCGCGCTCCTTCCTTGCGGGCACTCGGACATATCGTCTGATCGTACACGCTGAGCATCCCCGCTCGTCGCGAGGCCGCCAGCGCGTATATTCTCGCGGCTACGCCTAACGCGCTCGCGCCAATCGGAGGGCGCGCTCGACTTCGACCGACCCTACTTGCGATTATTCGCACAGATCTTTCTGCTTAAATCTGCAGATCCGTCGATGGGCCGATGTGCCGAGGCGCAAGGTGGAAGTAACAATGGGATATACGTGTTGCGACGGAATTCTCTTGTATTCTCTCTGCTAATTCGCACGTGTCTGCTTTTGTTCTATCGACGTCGAAACTGAAATAACGATTGGAATGAGATAGGAATGAAATGGAGGGCTGCGTTTAGGAGGGAAAAAAAAAACCAGCTACCTTGTAACTGTTGTAAGATACTTTTTAATACGATTGGTCCTTGACCTTAGCTTTTCACTGGATTCAAATGTGTAGACTAATCGTATTAAAGCAATGCTATCTAAGATATGTAATTCTGCAGGCATTGACTTGTAAATGTTCACATCTATTGTTTTCTCTTTCTACCTTCATTGGAAAAAAAGAAACCGGTATGCATACGTTCGACGTACGTCAAACGAACAACTATATACAAGTCGCAGACAGCGCTGCAAAAAATCTGCAACACTTGCAAAGCTGTCTCTTGTCCTGAACACAGCTATTGTTATGTCATTTTCTAATTTCTTATTATTTAGAAATTTTGAGTGTTCTCCAATAAGAGACACAGTGAATCATTTTACTTTTGTTTAACATTGGCAAGCAACAAGGATGTAATAATTTATTGTTGCACACTGTATTTTATGTGTCTCCTGTTGAAAAGCAGGAGACCCTTTACTAACTTTCCAAAGTTGAGCACCAAAATCTGTAACACATTTACAGACACTGGGCCTGTAACACTCATTTAATTTATACTAGTTACAAGATTATTTTCAAAGAACCAAGATGATATATAAAAAACAATGAATACTACATATATAATATTTTAATAAGAATAATCAAAATTTATAAAGAGAATTGAACTGTTTGATATTTTTTACAAACAGATAATTCATAATTGAATGGGTCTACAATAGGCTCCTCGTTAACTTCGCACAGAGGATTAGAAAATTATACATATTCGTGCAATGATTGTAATTTGTTAAGATTGAACTTTTATATAAGACGAGAACAATGAATAACAACGAATCTTACTTAAGGCAAAGCTGTTAGATTTAAAAAATAGAAGATTTCCGTCTTCCGTAGGTTAAAGTTGAAAATTCAGTTTTGCAAATACGGATACGTAACGTCTTTCGATTTTCTCATTGACATCGCAGACAAGCGTCAGTTGACACACGGTAGCAAGCTCGGGGTAGCGGGCTGATCTTTCGAGGACCGGTTGGTTACCGGTCTGAATAGCGGTCTGTCGTACGAGCAACGTGCAACACAATTTGCGTCTTGATCGAGGAGGCAATAGAAAGCTCTCGTACATCAACCATGATCAGCACGACAGGTTGGAATTACGGCGCGTGTCGCCGATCCGCGCATCGATTCGACAGCTCTGGGATGGTTTCTCTATTTAAAGGTTAATTATTTACGACTCGGCTCATTAGCTCGTCGTGATCGGCAATTACCATTCGAAGGCTGCAACTTCGCGACGTGTCTTATCGCATGATCGCCAAGTTAAAATTTCGTTATCTACCTATACTTGTACCATGCATTTTAATGATTCGTGTGTAACCTTCGACTATAGCAACGCGCGTCATTTAGATGGAAGCTAAAATTTTAAATAAGTTGTATAATCTGTACAATTAGTACCATAAGAGCTATGAGGGTCTAAAGTGTAGGTATAAAAACTTTGAATCTTCCTATCGAGGGAATTATTTTGCTAAAGTATCTAAAAATTTAGATAATTTCGTTGGAGCATCAAAATAATAATGTAGGAAACTCAAACATAATAAGCAATAATACCACGAAAAGTGTCAACTTTCTATAGCAACCAGTTTGAACATCCTACATAAAAATTTATATTGTCAGATCTAGCCAAATTTTGACATACTCTTCAGCAAAATCGTTTTTTCCATCGTTATAAACAGAGGTTCACTTGCATTCTGTATACTTCAAACACAGGACGCTTTCGAGTTTAGATGTAATTTTCATAGCTACAGTTGAGGATGAAATAAGAAATTTCGTCATTGGAACAGTCACGCTTCCCACATGAGCCATGTGATTAAACGCGATATTAATAAAAGACGCACTCTGCGCCGCGGTAAACGCGACTCTGTTCGTCTACTCGTCTCACGGCGGGTCTCCTGAAGGATGCAGTGCGACATCGCGCGCCGGGGTCAAATCCCCGCACGCCAAAAAAGGCAAACGGCCATACGCGGTGCAACGTAGACGATCGCGCAATGAACGGCAGCGGCGGGCACGCCGCGCCGGCAGAAGCGAGTAAGAAGTCATTTTCCAACGGATTGAAATTCCATTCCGCCGTTTCTCATTGCGGGAGAACCAAACCCGAGAGCCGTAAGGCCATGAAATGACAGTTAGTGCGAGTATAACCCCTCCGAGATAAACCCTTTCGATTGGTCGGACGTTAATGTGCTTATCACGCCGCCTGCACGTCCTTTTATTGTTTCTTTCTCATTTCTCATTTTTCTTTCTTTCGCTTCGTCGGCCGTCTTCCCTCCTTCGCGCCTTCTCCTCTGTCACACTTGCTCACCCGTTCTTTCTCCCTTCGTCTCTCTCTCTCTCTCTCCTTCGGCGTACCGTTGCCGCCGTGCGACACGACAGCGTGTAATGGGCTTAAAGGTCTGCATTCCAATAACCGAGAAACGAATTGTCGTGCACTCGCGCGTTATCGCGCCAGCCCGGTCGGTCGCCCAAGACTAGCAGCGCGAGCCGAGACCAGCGCTCGTATATCACCGTAGCTTTTGTTACGGCGACGTGCCTTTGTTTTCGCCTCGTTTTCGCGATTCCTTTACATTGCTCCCTCCTTGAGTCTAGTACAGCCTCGAAAACATCGTCGGCGAGTGTATTGTCGAGGCTCGGAACAAGTCTTGGTCTTCATTCGCACTAAATTGATCACGCATTTCGCGGCCGGGAATTACTTCGCAATGAATCGAAGTCGATTCTCATAGCGCTCATTCCCTTTTGTCCGCAGGTATAATATCTGTACGCGATCTGTGCGTATCAAAAGGCGGTGCCACTCCTCGGTAATTCTCAGAGCAGTTCACGCGAGAAGCAGGATCCGCGCGTTAAGTTCGAACCGAATGTTATTTTGCATTTTGTTTTAGGATACAGTGAGAAGCCGGCTGGTTTGCGAGGTTCGAGATGTCCGCCGTAACCAGCCCATATTGCCCTGGTAAGATACTAAGACATTCTCGGCCAATTAAATGCTAGATTCGTTCCACGCGAAATATATGAGTAGCCCATTGGCAAAAGTTGTTGTCTCCATTTAACACTTTTTTGGCGAGTGCGAAAAACTTGTATAGTTTTTCTCATTCAAACTGTGTCAACACAAAATAATTTTTTTAATTGAGAAAAATTTATTATTTTAGTTAACAAAACGTGTATAAAATGACATGAAATATACAATGTCTATTTAACAAAATAGAACGTACTTGACTGATTTGGAGGAAGGATTTAATTAATTTTGAAACGAAATGTTTACCATTTTTATCAAATCTAACTCATAATTGTAATTGCACTTGCAATTGTAAGAATACATAAATTTGGGGATTTACCTTCTTTTGTAATTAAATTCACACTTTTTCCTTGATTTTATAGGGTTTATAATCGTTTCAGCATTTTTGAAAACATTCACGTAGTAACCAAAAAGATAAGCAATTCAGATACAACATCTCATGTTTTTATAATAATTCTTGAATGGAACTGCTTTCGTATATCGGCTACTCGTATAATAAATTCGATCTTTAAAAGTCATCAAAGCATGAAGATTTTAAGCAACAATTGCACGAATGTATTTTTTTTATATAGATATTCGTTCTACACGAAATATTGTACTATAATAGTAATCAATTTATCTTTTTATCATTAGGTACTTAAAAATCACCAAAGAGATCATTAAAATTTCATGCTTTAGTAACAATAGTCTAGACAACAATCGCGAATATATCTTCCTCATTTGGAATGTTGAGCTCAGGAGAGAATCCGTTACTACGTTATTATCGGCATATATAACCGACGATTTTCTGCATTTGCACTAAGAAATAGTTCTACGTGAATCATTGAGCGATCATTTGCGTCTAACAAGTGAAAGCAACTTAAATGCCGGCGTTGCAAGTATATGAATCGCGGTATTAATTTTATGGAACTATCGTTTATACGTCGCACCATCTACGTTCCGAGAAGAATCGTGCGCTTAGCGTCCGAGTTCGCGGGATTGTAATTGACGCTAAAAGTTGATATCTATTAACTGCGATATGAGAAACGAGGCGAGAAACGCGCTACGCGGCATCGCCTTGAAACGCCGAGGCATTCGTTATACGAAATTAGTGACTATTGTCGCCTCTACCTTCGTAATGTAAGTACCGAGATACATTGCTCATCCAGATTGTCTTTATTCGCACCCGACATACCGGAGTTTATTTGAGAGACTGACGGATGTAAAAATGAGGCGAAAAACAGCTTGAGATCGGACTCGCTCGGTTCTTGCGCACATGCCATTAGCGTCGGTTGAGAAATGGAACGATAGGATTATAGCGGCTTATCCAAACAAGACAGCGATCGAGTGAATTTCATCTTTCATCAGCGGAGATGCTTTCCGACTCGGTCTACAACTACGCGACGACCCGACGGGGCGCCGCCGATCAGGACAGCGACTCCCAGTACGAGGCCCAGGCCCAGTTGCAGATCACCAGCAGCATCCAGAGCAAACCACGGAACAAGCGAAAGAACTTCAAGCCCATAAGCAGCCGGATGGCTGAGATATCCGACGAATCTGAGAGAGACGACGATGAACCGGAGGTCGTGGAGGAGAATTCCAGCGAGATTCTTGAGTACGAGAGGAAAACGATGCTGTTACCGGCCGACGAGAGATCGAAACAGAGACTAAACAACAACGAGGCCAGTCCGATGGACCTCTCGGTCACCACGAAACCGCCGTCCTCCGAGGCCGACGACGATAGCGCGGACTCTCTCAGGCACAAGTTCATCCTCGAGCAGCTGAGGTCGCAGAAGTTTTACTCCCCCGGTACAGAGGTAAGCTGCGATCAACTGATCCTTGCTTTCTGATTTCATTTATTTAAGCATATTATTTCGCTGTACAATATCAGCTAAAAAGTATCAACCAAAAAATCGGACAAATAAACCAATATTGGTCAGAAAATTTTTGTCTGAATAGGTACCTACTTCTTGAAATCAACTGCAAAAGAAACAAAATAATACTCTCAGTAGAGTTTTATCAGTATATTTACAAAAATTTGATTTAATTCGTAATGCTACTTTCTAATCCAATTCGCAAAGAAGTATTATACAAAACACGATTTTGCACAAATATCAGAATAACAACAATTTATGAAAACATGGTACATGCACGTTCTTAACACAAGACGTTTGTTCTCGAATGTATCCAGGCGAGAAGCCCAAACTCCGATTCATCGGATAGAAGTGGGAGCGGCGTCTTGGACGCGGAATCGTCTCGCTTGGACGATCAGGACATCCAATTCGAAGATGAGCGTGCCAACGATGTCGACGGCGAAGTCGAGATCGAAGAGCGGAAGCCCTTCGAGGGCATGAAGGAATACGCAGAGTCAACGATGCAAGAACTTTTGGCAATCTATGGGCTGGCGGGAGGCGAACTGGCGAAATCGGTCAGCAGGCAACTGCCGCCCACGTTCCTCAACCCGAACGTTGGCCAGCTTGCTCAAGGTAAGTGACCTCCAAAAAAATTTAGCGATTTACGTTCGATCGAATAAAGCGGTCCATAAAATCTCAATGCAGAGAGTATAACGTAGTAATTTTTTTTAATGTTTTGCGAGAATTCTTTCCATCATACTATCACTTTGATTAAAATTAGTATTACGATTCTGGATGTCCATTAAAATCATTATTAAATAACATTATTAAAGTCACCCACATTGTGGCGATTTTATCTGACGAACTTGTTAGTGGATCAGAATGTATGAATTGGCAAATTCGAGATTGATGTAGGATTGATCAGTTGGCCGCAACTGGTTGACATTCGCGATCGAGTTTGACCGGGTATTCATTCTGTGCCTTATTTACCAGCAGAGTTATCGATCGACGAAATTCCAAAACGCTGTCGTCGCATTTTTATTATCAAACTGTTGCTTCATTGAGGCGTGAAGAGTATAAATTAGCTGTATCCGTGAATATTTATGATTATAATTATAATATCGGATATGATTACTTGAAAGGTGAGGCATCAGTTACAGAGTTCTATATATTCATAAGAGTAACGTGTTGCTTTTACCTAAAGTATGCCGACAATTAATTTCCTGTTGGTTGTTTTTCTATTAGCTAATTTCGATTTCCATTTTCCATCGATTGGTCTATTGTCTAAAAAGGGTTTAGTAACTCTTTAATATGATATAGTTGTTAGGTCAAACATGGCGGTCAAACACATAGCGTTTGTGCTACTCTTATAAATATAGAGCTCTAATCGACAACACTGCTGATAGACCGAATTACGTTGAATTTACTCCGAGGAAGAAAAACGAAGTAGATTGATATTTGCGTCAAACACGTGGGCGTGTATTCTTCCGGCGATTTGTCGGGAATCCGATGATCGCGCCGCGCTGGTAGCCGCGATCATCGTTCGATACAACGTGAATTAGAAGCCTTTGCCGAGCAGTGGCGGTTACGTCAGCCGGCATCGCGATAAACGAATGCACTTCTCGCGATATGTGTGCTCGCACGAGGATGGGGGAGCTCGTATGGAGAGCCGGCGGCTTTCGGCTGGGACTGTACGTGCACCAGAACAGAATGTGGCACTTACATATTGCCGGTGCATCGCATATGTGCGCACGTGAATATGTGATGGCTCTCGCAAGATGGCCGACTTATAACTCATAAAGTCGGTCGGTCCCGACTGTGCGCTAAGCGTCGACCGCCGACCCGCGATCGATGGATGCCTTCGAGATCAGCCAGCGTCATCGTTTCCCGTTGCGCGCGGCGACCAGCGTGGGTTGACGCTCTCGAGAATTCCCTACGGTCCAGAATTCTCAAGTCCGCTTTAACTCTCTCTCTCTCTCTCTGTCCCTCTTACACACATACAGCACCTTAGACGCGAATTATTTGCTTGACGAAAATAGTTTTCGATATGCGTATCTCGAAACTTTGATTGTAATATGAACGAAGGATGGAATGCTGACATACAGAATGCTGATAGAATCACAAATTAATTTATTCATTTCGATCCAGTGATTTTGACGATAGTTGTAACAGTGTACGAATATATTCTTATTAAGATTCTTAATGAATAATCCAATGCTGTATAGACATTTCCAGAGAAGTGAAATGATATGTGTAAATAATGTAAAATTTGTTACAATCTTATGTTTACGAACAAAGGCCGAGGTGAAAAGTTTCCACTCGTTTCTCACCGTCGCGTCTTCCAACTGGTCGCCACCTACGTGCAGGTGACGAGGAACAAAAGCCGGGATATTTTACGGTACTACGTATATCGTTGCGATTGATACAAAAAAAAATATTCGCGTAATTTATCATGTAAAAGATATTAAAGTATCATCTTAGCAGTGACGCATTAGACAACGACAAAAAAGGGAAGGACGACACTTCTTAGAAGAATCTCATTCGAATCTCGCCTTGACGGTCTGACAAACAAATATGTTGCGTATTTGCTTCTCTCTGAGAGTAATACGCTGCCATATCATATCGCGTTTATTCTGTGATGAAATAAATACTCTACAAGAGTATATTAACGTCTAGGAATACCCATCACAAGATTATATTGATCACATTCACTTCTTTATACTAGAAGTCGACTTATGTTCACACAGAAAGAAACGATTTTGCTGAAGTATCTAAAAACTTATACAGATCTGAACTTTCAGATTAGTCTAGTTATAGCTAGTTGCTAGAATGTCTAAAGTTTTGTAAGGGGAATTTTCTGCGTAATTATTTTGATGATCCAACAAAATTATTTTTGGATCTGTATATATCTATATTTTTAAATACTTTATTAAAATCGTTCTTCCTAAGCATGATCTATTGTACATTCCATATCCTATGTTTTCAAACTTCTGTTATGATCCGTCCTATCAAATATTAGATCAATTCTCTCTGTCAGACTTTCCGTTCAGTTAATCGCTCTATTTCATGGCGCCGTGATATTAATGCGATACAACGAGGGCACAAAAAAGGTGTGTGTACCAGCAGTGTCGTACAATCGTCATGCTGAACGAGCGGGGGAGCAATAATCTGGCGTGAAGAAAAGCAGAAAACTCACCTATGTGCGCCGAGTAGAAGAGTGAGAGAGAGAGATATGGGGTACTTGAGTAGGATTGGAGGGTGGGGTCCGATGAGAGGTGAGGAGGGAGGATACCGCGATGCCTCTGTGAACCCATTAATCATTCCACCCGGATAAAAGGTAGTAAAGATGAAAAGAGAAGACGGACAGTCGGACGGACAACGGGCAGGCACGCAGCACAGACGCTGGAAGGAGCAGATAGAAGAAAGAGGGAGAACACGACTCCTTTCCTCTTTCTCCGTTCGCTTCCTCTCTCGCGAGCGTGAGCGCGAGCACGCAGGATCATTTTTTATTTTTGTCCTTTTCGAAATTCGTCGGACGCCTCGCCATTGTCAGGGCCCGCGGAGACTCTCGAGAGACAGGGCCTCTTCCCCGGGGCCCCCGGGCGTCGTTCCGTCGCACGGGGCCAGATTCATTAACTGATAGCACACGATTCCTTCCCCCCCCCCTCCCCCCGGCTCGATTACGTTTTTTAACGATATCCGTCCGCAGCGCTGAGTCGGAAGAATGATCATCGAATCCCACCCGTCGGGCGAGAAAATCCGCTCCGTGTTCAAAATCGGCTCGAACCGACCGATCGACGGGGCCATCTCTTTCTCACCGCGTACAGATAGTCGTTCAATTTAAGCGAGGCTTTAAAAAGTAATCGACGTTATAGCGGATGATTATCTACTTGAAAAGACACACACGTGTTCCAAGAGGAAAGGAAAAGAATTCTGGAGCCCGCGAACTCACCAAGCAGTTGTTTCTAAATCTCTAGCTCGTCATATACTACAAATCTCTTTAAAAAAAAGAACTCTTTGGCGTAAAAAGATTCAGTTTCGAAAAAAGCGAACCTTCTTTTAGTCTCTGAGAAGACGGTTCGGCCGCTGCGAACCCTCCCTCGTTAAGAGACGCGGGATTCAAAAAGCCAGCTAACTCGACTGCTATTCAACGAATCTGTCGTATCTACTGGCCGGGTTTAATTCGAGACGTTGGTAGCAAGGAATGGAACAGCGAATCGATGGTATTAAAAAGAGGGGAGCGACGGGGGGATTTGGATCAGCCTGGTTACGAGCTTTTATGTGCCTCGCTCGGGCATATATATGTATATATGAGTTAGGTATGATGGTCCCCGAGGACGAATCGTTGCGAGGTCGAAATCGGAGCTTCCTCCTTGAATGCGGACAAAGAGTCCCCCTTCTTGGTTGACGAGAGGCGTTAAGGATCTCTGGTGGTCGAATCCAGTCGTTGAATCGAGAATTTGTAATGTATTTCGACGAAATTTATGCAAGTAGAAAACGAGAAAAGAGGAAGAAAAGGAAAATAGTGCTATAGAGGAATACGAGTTACCTTTTGCTGTCGCCTTAGACTTTTATTCTTATTCTTAGAGCTTTCCAAATGATTTACGTTGCGGATGGTAATGTTTTTCACAATTTCCTGTTTTATCAGATATTCACGATAATGCGCGAAATGTATATCTCGCACTCGGGCGAGAATATTTTCTGCTAAGCAGAATGAAAGAAGAAGAAGAAGAAGGTGCAGAGAAAGATGGACGAATCTTGCGAGACGATAATCGTCGCTGAATTCCCTCGGTGCGACGAGATCGTGAAACGTTTTATGAAAGCTTTTATGAAAGGCTTTACGAGCCACGGACCGAACTGGGGCCCCGAGTTCGCTTCTGCTACACACGTGCTGTCACGGCGACGAGCCCCCCTGAAACCCCGCGGGGCCCTATTCTTGTCCTCCACCTCTCTTTATCTTTCCCTCTTTTACGCGGCTCCACAACGAGAGAGTCGCGTTTTCTCTATCGATCCTCGAAAGTGCCTCGTTTTTCATCATCATCATATCCGTCGTCAATACCTCGTCTCTCCCTTGATCGCGTCCTTCTCTTCTTTTCTCGTTTTCCGTTTTTTTTTTTCCTCGCACTCTTCTCGTTCATCCTCGGATATATTTCATAGCCGGTATTTTCCTCGGCTGAAATTTTTTCGCGACGTCGAAGAGTAAAGCTTAGATTAACGTTCTGCGAGAGCACTGGAATGCCGATGTCATTTGCATAAGAAAACGACCGAATCGATGGTTGTTTAAATGTTCATCTTCTCCACGATTAATTTCCATTGAAAACTTGAATTTTTTTTTTTCACCATCATTCGTACAACTATCTTGTAGTCCGTGCGACGTTGATGTCCGCTTCCGGGTCAATTGGATCTCCTCAGCTTTTTTGTTCTCCAATTAAGTTCTGAGTCAGAGAGCGGTGGCAAGAGGGGGACGTTCTATTGACGTTGGACGCGGTACAGTCCTTGCAGTAGCCTGCATTCGCGACGATTCTATGTATCGCTCGAACTTCTGTCTCTTTTTTTTTTGACAACGATCGGCATCATCGCAATTGGAATCGTTAACGAGCCTGTCTGCGTCATGAATCGATTATTTGCGAAGA